AATTTAAAGTGAGAACGGACATTTCATAACCAAACTTACGGAATGGCCATTCCATTCTCAAGTAAATTTTCTTAAAAAATCAAGTTTCTAAAAAACCTTCATGTTTCAAGTTCAAAAACCACCAACACCACCACTGCTTTCAACCACCACCACTATCGCTGCCGCTATCACCATTACCACTACCACTACCTTCCACCACCAACGTCACCAGCACCCACTGCTTTCCACCACCAGCACCACTGCTACCTTCCACCACAACCACCACTGCCACCTCCATTGCTTTCCACCACCGCAACTGCCATCGCCACCATTGTTACCACCTTCAACTCAGGGGCAGAGCCAGGATTTTAGTTTAGGAGGGGGGCACAATGTTAAGAAAAAAAATTACTTAAAGGAGTAGAAAGGGAAAAAAAAAAAATAACAACTTAAAAAGGAAATAATTAAAATTTAATTTAACAAGGAAAATTTAACTTTTTTAAAAGGAATTTGAAGAATAAATTAGGAAAAAACGAGAAAAATAAGATATAATTTTAAAAACTAATAATTTAAGGGGGGCATTATATAAAAAATTCCATATATATACATATAAAATATAAAAAAAAAAAATTCTATATGTATAGTGGGCGAGGCCAGGCTAGAGGGGGCAAGTGCTCCCCTGGGCATACACTTGCTCCACCCCTGCTTCAACCACCACATTGTCGCCACCACCACCAATTTCCACCATCACCACCGATCACAACCACATCCATTGCCTTTCACCGCCGTTATTGCCACCACCACTGTCACCATTACCGCTACCACTACCGATGCCGTCACCGCCACAGCCACCACCACCTTCCACATACACCACTATTACCTTCCACCACTGCCACCGCCACCGCCACCATTATCTTTGCCTTACACCACCACCACACCGCTGCCGCCACCTCTACCAATACCGCCACCACCATGACTTGTACCACCGCCATCGTTTTCCACCACAACCACCTCCATCAAGCCGCCTTCCACCACCACCGCCACCTCCAGTGCCTTCCAGCACCACCACCACTGTCACCTCTACCGCCTTCCACCACCACCACCACTGCCGCCTTCCACCACCACCACACCACTGCCTTCCACCATCATCACCTACACCATGGATGCCTTCCACCATTGCCACCACCATCGCCGCCACCTTTCACCACTACTACCATCGTCGCCTTCTAACACCACTACCACCGCCACCTTCCAACACCACCACCCACACCACTACTACTTTCTACCTCCACCACCATCGTCACCGCCATCAACACCACCGTAATTTTTTTAAAAAAAATTATAGAAGAATGTTATTTTGTTAATTTAATTTATTTGTCAATAATAGAGTATTTTGGAGAATTCAATTTGAAATTCATTCTATTCTAAATTTTAAATTGATCAAACTAAAGAATAGAATAATTATTATCATTCCATTCTTACATATTTCATATTTGCAACCAAACAATAGAATAAGAATGGGCATTCTATTCCATTCACATTCTCATTCCATTCTCGCATGCATTCCACTCCATTCCTGCACACTAAACACAATATTAATTAAGGAAAATAATAATTGTTTTGATTGATTAATATGAGTGATCTAAGTGAATTACTTAAAAGAAATATTCTCATTTTAAATGTCAAATGAATCTTACATACTTGTGATGTCACTTGACCAATTATTTTGAGAATTCCTTCAACGGATCATCCACACATATTGAGTAATGTTATCAATAAAGCCCTCTCATTACAAGAGTATGAGTTATTTATCTATTAATCATTAGATATGTATATACACACACACACTTTGACGAGATTGAAACACATTCAAAAACTCACTTTTGAGTACTTGAACTCTTAATATTTTATTTTGAAATGTGAGAAAGTACCATTAAGCTATACAGCCTTTGGTGGTGTATATTAATTGATAAAGGAACTTTAAAAATAAGCCATAAGGCAAGCAAGAGCAAACCTCAAAAAAAAAAAAAAAATAAATAAATAAAATAAATAATAATAATAATAATAATAATAATGGGAGCTTATTGGTGACAGCCTTTTAGAAAATAACTCAATTCGAATATAAATGAATAAATAGAGGTTATGTATAATAGTCCCATAAGACAAATTTTTTTTTTTTGGGGTTAAAATCTTTAAATAAATGTCTCTTTTCAATAATAATAATAATAATAATAAACTAACACAATATGATGTGTTAATTGTACAAGAAAAATAAATATAATGAAATTCAGCTTTCCATTTCATTAAAATAAAAAGGCCTTATCTATTAAGGAAGTTATTTTATTTTTGTGTTTTAAGGTTCTCTTTAAATAAGGAAAATGAGCAAACTCGAATCCTTCAATCAATTTCTTTAAGTCATTCTTTTTAGTAGCATAGAAAAATTGGAAGATTACACTTATTTGAAAATTTATACTAGGTTGGTAAATAAATAATTAAATATATATAAGTAAAAATGTAGTGATGTCTCATTAATTTACGAATGAGCAAGACATCATCATGCAATAAATTCCTTCCTTGAAATATAGAACTCATGTCTCTTAAAAGTTTAAACCCCTTCTTGACAGACTTGGCATGCACAATGAATATATATATGTGTGTGTGTGTGTGTGTGTAATACTGTACTTGAATGGACATTTGCTTGATACAAATATATATATAAATAAACCCTAAAAGCAAGAAGAAGTATGGATTCTTTTATTGAATAGACTTGAAGTACTAGTTAATAGTTAAATATTGCTTATATGTATAGAATCCAAAATTGATTGTTAGATAGTAAAAATTAGTTCCCTATGCTATGATTAGAATTAATTAAGCCTAAAAATCTATATATTTATACATTTGACTATCGAAAATGATGCTACATGGCCATGCTTCTTGAGCAACTTAATTACAGATTAAAGAACAACCCTCTAGTACAAGCTGTTAGGTTGTTAACATATTATTTATACAGAGATTAGCAGAGTTTTTTTTTTTATTTTTATTTTTTTTATCCACTTTGAAGGAATATAATAATTAATATTCTTTAAATCTCTTTAAGCTCCCAACCACTACCACAGAAACCTTAACCTAATCAAGAGCTCGATACATCCCTATAAAGGATATTATAAATTAGGTATATAACATATTCCTTATTTAATTAATTTGCACTACAGAATCTAATGCAATTGTCCTAAAACTAGTTATATATATATATATATATATATATATATATATATATATATATATATATGTGAGAATTTGTTTCATCAAAATGCATGAAGTATATAAGGATTTCCATTAACATTTCCTTTCGTCAATGGAACCTCTGCAGGATGTCTCAAGTGGAGAATAAAGTGAACATTACATCTTCACTATATATATATATTCATCGTACACGTTGATGGAAACCTTCTTCCTCATTACACTGGTTGTCGAAAGCTTATATTGGAGATACGATTCGCCTTTAACATGCCCAAAAGAACATTTGCACAATGACTATGATCCTAAGTGCAGATATACATCCTCAAAAGATCATTTGCACAATGACCTATTTATATGTGCATAATATATATATATATATATATATATATATATGTATGTATATTGGGAATGCTAACTTAATAATCAATCTGCATCCTTTCATTCTGTTGATTTTTGTTAAGTCGTCTTACCTAAACTCAAACACAACATCCCAATTAGTATACAAATTAACTGTAATCCCATTGAGCCATGCTTGATTTGAGATCTGTCAAAGAAATGCACAATTTCTTTCTAGTGAAAATACTTCAGTCAAAGTAATTAGAGAAGACTGAGTCATGCATTCAAATTAATGGCAATCACAAAAATTAAGGACAAATATACTTGATATAGAGCAAAGAGCTATTCAATATATATATAGGGAGCTTCTAGCTAAAGATATATTTCTCATGTTAAAAAATGTTTGATGTAATGAATTAATTGACAGCTATAATATTGTACAATTACTTGTACACTTGGGATATATGTGTGTGTGTGTGTGTGTGTGGAACTCAAAGTGTAGTTGAATGAAGAGTTTGAGTGTGTGGAAATGCCTGAGACTAGTAAAACTAAAGAAAGAATATAGAAACCATCATTCACCGTACATATATATATACAGTATATTATATCTCCTAGCATCCTTATCAACCTAAAAACAAAAAATATCAAGGAAACTGATTAGTAAACAAATTATAAAACAATTGTCCTCATGATCACCATCACAAACAATTGATGAATAAAGTACTGTGACCATGCCTATATCTTCTATTTAAATGCTGTAAATGTCTCAATATAACCATGGTAGATGTTCAAAGTTGTTAATTAAGGCAAGAAATCTAGCCCTCTTCTACTCTCATCCTCTACACATGTCTCGATCGGTCAATAATGCCTCCTTAAACACCAATCTTAGATCTCCCTTATTTTAGTCAAGTTTACAATACAATACTGAAACTAAATGCTAGATTAATATCACAAATTAACAATTTATTGGACATACACATTATTTTTTTTCCCTCCTGAAAGAGAGGAGTTTTGTTGTATGAGAATCATCATTTATAGACAACTTCTGGGATTTCATTAGGATAGAGAGACATGTTGTTCAGTAGAAAACTAGTTGGAGCCCATTCCCAGAATGAATGAAGTTATATATATATATATATATATATATATATTAGCTCAAACATTAATGTAATTCATGTTGTTTAAGGCACCAACAAGAGGAACCTAATCCTGGGAAAACCCTTGCCCTAACCTATTTTTATATCATATTGTACTTATTTTTCCTGAAAACAATGCAACAAAACACAAAGCCCATAATCCCAAACCTCAAAATATTAATCAAGAAGACCACTTTTATAATGTATGATATATCCACATTCCACAGACAACAGCAATACAAGTACACAAATGAAAAACATACTAGCTAGTTAGTCCAAAATATTAATAATAAGAGATAGATGAGTTAGTAACTTAGTACTACTACTTCACTCAATATATATATATATATATATAGAAAACAGCTTAGCTAGCTTGTTGATGAGTTAGTAGTAGTACTACTACACTAATTATATATGCCAGCTTCTAATCATAAACACAGTGAATCCATCAAACCAAATTTAGTTATAAAAGCGAGAGTTTTAAGATCAACACAAAGACTATTTCCACAAATCAAAGATACAAAATAACCCAAAAAAAAAAAAAAATCCCCCAAAACAACAAGATGAGATAGAGAGTGAGTGATTCTAGAGAGAGAACCATGATCAGAATGAATGAAAGACACAGTAAGTATACTAATATTTCTGACCTTTATGATTCAAATTTTTGTTAGAATGGAGGCCTAACACCTGAATTTCCTGCCCAACCCTCAACTGGCAACTGAACATTAGCCATACCAAGTGGCAAATTGAAGAAAGGGAGTCCAGAAGATGGATCAGGAAATGGGTTATTACTAACACCTCCGCCACCGCCACCGCCACCGCCTTGTGACACCGGGGTCTGCATCTGAAGCGCCTCCTCCTCTTCCAGCGGCAGCCTCTCATAAGCCACATTGGTAAAGGAGGCTGCAATCACGATTACCGGCCCGGCTGCTATCAGCTCCCCCACCACACTCCCTCCCACCACCTGCCCCTGCCCGCCGGCCAGGAAAATAGTCAGACTGGTCGCGCCTGGCGGAGCAGGGGGCGGCAGAAACGACCCGGTCAGCGACAGTATCTCAAACCGCCCATGCAGTGTCACAATGGAGCCAGCAGCCGCCGGCTGCCGAAGGCTGACATTCGTGACCGTGCCACTGCCGCTCAGCACGCAGATCCCCCGCTGCCGCCGCCGCGCGTACGTGGCAACGCAGTCGAAGATGTCGCAGCCATTGCCCACCTCCAAGATGTGGGCTCTTAGGGTATTTGCACTCTCCCTTGTGATAATTACTGGTGGTTTAGGCTTGTTTTTTGACCCGGGCGGTCGGCCTCGAGGCCTACGCGCCACCATGTCACCCGGGCTGGAGCTGCCGGCCACCAGCTCGAGGCCGTGGTGGCCTCCGTCGTCGTCGTGATCACCGGAAAAGTGACCCTTATTGTCATCTTGAATGTTTTGATTTGTTTGGAGGTGAAGTTGATGATGAACATAGTGAGAAGCAGTGCCTAAATCCAAACCGGCCATGAGTACTAAAACATCAAAAGGAACAGAAACAGAAACAACAGAAAACAAGAAAATTAATTAAAAAATGGAAACAAGAGGATTAAAAACTGTTTTTGGGTTGTTTAATAATTTATGAATTAAGTGGGAAAAAATAAAATTAAAAGATGTGAATGGGAATAGAAAAAGAGAGCTCTGTAACTCGAACCCTAGATTTGAATAAAGATTAGATGGCAACTACTATACTGCTGAGTATTTTTGAGTAGAGGGAAAGGAAAGGGCAAGAGAAGGAAAGGAGGAGGAGGAAATGAGAGAGAGAGAGAGAAAGAGGGGGGACAAAAACTCAAGAACAAGTCATTTCTCATAACCTAAAGTTTAAATATATGCATAAAAAATTATGTAGTTGAATACATTTATGGTTTGTTCTTTTATTATTTTATTTTATATTTTGTTTTGATACATGAAAAGATTGGATGATAGTCTAACTTGGCGCGTGAAATAGTTAGGTGTTGTTTAAGCGAGTGTTACGTAACCAAATGTGAGAACTTGTGAGTTTGGTTAATATAAATAATAAAAAATAATAAAAGAGGAGAGATAGAGAACTCCACTTTGACATACGCAATTTATTTGAATCCTATACTACAAGATCCATATATATGCCATTTATCTTATAAGCTTACGTAAGAAATTTTTTATTTTATTTTTATTTTTTTTCCAACTGATAAGCCAGTTTAAAGAATTTCTTATTTTAACATTGCAGAAACATGGCGGTAGGTTTGAAATGGTTGGTGTTCGATTCTTTCCAAACCATCTATTCTTCTTGATTGATTGCTGCGCGTGTTAAGGAGCCGGTGTGCGTGGCACATGTTTGTAACTTGGGGTGAGTCCCTAAGGGGGTAGGTCTTTAAGGGGCCCTGTCCAGGAGAGTTCCTGTTTTCCAAAAAAAAAAAGAAAAAAAACATTGCAGAAGCATGTGATAAAACAAAGTAAATATTTAATAACATCCTCATAGGAGCATGTTGATTGCACAGTTCGATAATGGGGCTTGGATTTTTTGAACTAAACTATGGTTAATTATTAAGTGGGGAAGTTGACCAAGTTTTAGTTAGGATGATTGGTGAGGGAGGGGTTGCAAATATAATATTACAAAATCGAGGACGAACAGGGCAAGTGGGAGATGTGCTTCGGCGGATGGGCCCCCCCCTTGTCTTTTTATTTTTTTTTCCAACCGGGGACGGCCCAACTCTTTAAGGTTGCAATTGAATTGAGTCGAGTCAAACATATGTGTATTTGGATTCAATTTAATTAAAATAAACATTACTTTTTGAGTTGAAGTTGCAGCTCGCATCGAACCTACTTAAGAATTTATCATTGTTGTATGTGATGCGTGTTGTACTCGCAAACAGTGTTCACATGTATAAGAGAATTGAGATTTGTTGAATGTTATACAATACTATTCGCATATCGTTGAAGATTCTAGCTCTTGGCTCATATGCCGTCTTGTGCGCTCATTCTTAAAACTAAAGCTTAATTGAAATCAAGATTAATCAAGGAAAGAAAATATTACACATCTATTTTTCAATTGTCAATTCTCTTTGATTATTTGGAGTGTCATTTCTCAGCAGATTGAATATCAATGCTCTCTCTCCTTGCCTCGTGTTATCACCAAAGTATAGCAAAAAGTTTAAAAACCTTCTATTGCAACAGTAGTGTATTGTCTTTAAAGTTTTGGGGATCATCAGGTGCAATATGAGTTCTCTCCCCCATACCGATTTCTAGGAGAATAGGGCATTAGTTAGGACTTCGAACCTACCAGATTTTGTTCTTAAATGATGGTTTTCTGTGGTATCTTGGTTAGCTTAATGTGTTTTGCAAATCCTTTTATAGGCTTGAGTTTTGGACACTAAAATAAGAAAAAATTACTAGCATATAATACTAAAAAATAAAAAATAAAAAAATAAAAAAAAAAGAAAAAGACTCTACACTAGGTCCTTGCTTGGTTGTGAACCCTTTTTTCATGTGCTAGGAAGGGGGATAGGTGCAATCTTCCCCCTCCCCTACCTTCTTTTATGCATGCAAGAAACTCACACACTATATTGATTTATAGGAACTTGCACCGTGAACTTTCTATTCGGCTCATCACTGCTGAGACCACAACTCTTGACTTCTTATTTGTACTCTTTTCCGAGAAAGTGAGGAGGATAACTTTATCAACCAATTTGTTTTCACAAATTTAGAAGCCTTTAACCTTACATTATATACAATAGCTGGGTACTTAAACTCCTGATTTCTTTTAAAAGTTCCACATTTCTCTATTATCAAGAAAAATGCACGGAGTGTAGTTTCCACGATCCCATTGAGAGGACATTAAACATGTAAGTACCCGGAATATTGAATAATTTCTCTTCTATTACATCACATGCTAATTAATTTCTTTATTATAAGATAAGACTAGGACAAATGTCATATCGTTTTGCTAAAAAAAAAAAAAAAAAAAAAGAAATCGTGAGCCCTGATGAACTTTCAGGGAAATGATGTGGTCAGGCTGTATAACATTTGACAAATACTATATATTAATTATACACCAACATTGTCCCGTTTGTTTGGTTCAGGTGATTAATTGAATTCAGTGTGGCCTACTGATTCAACATTGATGTTTGAAATATTTTTTAAAAAAAACACCTTTTAGGATATAATTTATTCTTTAATAACAGAATGTTTTATATTAGCATACAAAACTATAAAAATCTCTAATTTTCAGCCGCACTCAAAGTAGCTGATGTCTCAAGTCTCAACTATTAATTTGAGGCTGACTGGTTATATAGATGCCTTTTTTTTTTTTTTAACTATCTTAATCTCAAGGGTCATATATTTTATTAATGTCCTAAACTATATATCTAAATTTTTAGGGTTCGAATATATAATTAGTGTTTGTCTACTATTAATTAATTTAACTCTTTCCTCGTACAAGGCTTTCTATGTTTTTTGAAAGACTATGGTCATTAATTTCTTGAGTAACGTGATGTTACACTCTGTCAATTCCCTGTGAATTTATATATGTAGCTAGCTTGTTAACCACTTTAAATTTAAATAATTATATAGCAACATTTATTTATTTATTTATTATTTTTTTTTTTTTTGTGCCTGATAAAAGGGCAACATTTATATGTTGATGGGAGTTCCTTTAACAATTATGGAAAAAATGTTTAAGTTATTTAAAAAGGGACAATACTTACATGCTCATCGATGGCTAAGTACTCCATGTTGCTGATGTGATCCAATTTTAAACCGACACATCACCTTTAAATATTAATTAAAAAAAGAAAAATAATAAAAATCAGGTTAATTGAGATTTATTTTTCTTATTTATTACTTCTTTAATTTTGTAATTAAAGAATGTGTGTAATCATTTGGCTTATTCTAAGACCTGAAACTAATAATTAACTACCAAAAGAATTATACATGTGTATTGAGAAAACAAAAAATTAGTGCTTGTTGAAAGGTTGAAGAAACACATGCAGTTCTCCCGTCTTAGGGAAACCGAGACGTGAAATGAGAGCTTTTGTTATTCGGCTATTCCCTTGGATGCAGAAGAATTAAGTTAGGAACTATTTTTATAGCCCCATGACTCTACACTTTATCCTCCATTTATTTAAGTGCATGTTGGACATTTGGATAAATTATGCATTGATAGAGTGTTTGACTTTTTTACTTTAACCTCTTTAAAAATATGAAATAGTTTTCTTACTCTTATCAAATTTAAAAATAATTTAATTAAAAAAAAATCAGTCAAACCAAAAGATTTTATTACTTTTTTATTTTTCCTCCTCATTGTTTAAACACTATATTACCTTACCTATTTTTATTTTTATTTTTTAAAAAGAAATCTAATCCAACACTACAAAGCAACCTAATCAAATGTACATCATTAACAAAAACAAAAACGAAAAAAAGAAGAAGATGTTTTTGTAATATTTAATAATATAAAATTAATATGAAAATCGATACTTTGCATATATTTCATGTCAAAATACAAGGTTATTGAGGTCTTTTAATATTAACTTGGTCATTTTTCGAATTTTCATTAAAAAGAAGGGATATCATTGAGCACATGCGTCAAATATCATAAAAGGTCAAAATAATAAAAGACCGTCATTAAGCACATGTGTCAAATATTAGAAAAGATCAAAGTGATAAATTAAAAATCCAACGCTCAGTTGTGTATAATTTGTTCAAATCTTAGAAAAAGTTAGTGCAAATTATACAATATTGAAAATTCTTGCATGGCCAATAAGTCTTCAAAGTAATTGAACATATATATATATATATATATATATATATCTATATATATATGGAAAATGAAAAGAAAAGAAGCCAAAGATGGTGAAAGTTTGATGCATCATAATGTGAGTTTGTCACTGGTCAAACTTAGAGAACCAAAGAAGATTTTGTAACACGAATCATAGATGTCATATCCAATTCTGTATCCACGCAACCTCAAGGCAGAGTTGGTTTGAATACCACTGTCTTGTCCTGCATCTGTCTGCGTTAAGGTATTCTTCCTTCCTTGCTCTTATTTAATACTAATATTTACCTTATACAATAAATAAATGGTGTATATATATATATATATATCCAGAAGTTGACGTTGTTTCTCCAGTTAGAATGATCATAACTTCTACCTCCAGAATTAATTACAGATAAAGAAAGTAGTCAAGATTTTTTCTTTCATATATGTCCCAAACTTATATCCTATATATATATATATATATATATATATATATATATAAAACACCTTATATCCTATACATATGTATATAAATTAAATAAGTTATAGACTATGATCGATGAGTTGATAATGATATCTAACTGTTGAAAGGTGCATTCTAGATTGAAATGTTAAGGAAATTTGTATGATGACAATGTCATTGGTACTCTTATGTGAGTTCATATTCTTAATTAAAAAATGAAAAATATTGTGACCATATTTATAATATCCAATTGGGTTGAATTTTTCATAAATGAAA